AATGGGATGACCTAATACATACATGCAGCCGCGTCTACCGTAGTGGTTATTGGCACGATGCCTAGGGGAACTCGTGCAAAATTGCTTTTTGAGCCATGAAAAAGGAAGACTTTTCTTCGCCGGTTTTGACCTAATCACTTCGTTTTTTCGCCAGTTTCCTCACTGTATAGCACCCTGTTAGCATTTTAGACCTAGTACCAAATTATCGTGCCATGTGTCTTTATCGGGTGCATAACCTTTGGAGCAGCATCTGTAGACGAATGGTTTATGGAGAGTCGAGTGTTTAGAATTTTAAGCCTTGCTGAGATGCTGTAACTACCGCTTCGTTGAAAAGGCATTGCGCACCTTCTGCTCGGGGCACGTATCCTATTCTACTGAACTTATTTGCCCTATACGCCCAATCAATTTGTCGAACCCATTGCCTTCAAGCTTCACCACAAGTGAGCACGGGCAGTCTGCCCGCAGCTCCACCTTCCACCGGACTCCCTAGCTACACTCGAAATCCCTGTGGTGTGGTAGGCGTGGCTGCGTACTTCAACTGAACGTGGCGGTGGCTGTGCTTCTGGTGAGATTCTCTCATTTTGAAACTGCCGTAATCATGTCTTTGTCCATAGAGAAAAGATAACAGTTGTCTCAATTCAAGTATATCTCGGGCAACCTATTCTAAGCCGTGTTCACGCCACGCCTACTGCGTCTGAGGGATAAAGAGTGTATTGCCTTTCATCTGTCTGCATTTTAGCCATAGCAGCTGAAAGGGTGAGCGTGACATCCATAGAGCCTTCAAATCAATCTTGATGTGATGTCAGCTATTGTGAGCCAGTCGACCCAAAATTAGTTGTCAGAATGACAGCTAATTTCGTAAAAAAAGCGGGTTATGTCCTACTCTTTTCAGCTATCGCTTCACTGCCGCGTCACCTAGCCCGTGAACTTCCACTCTCGCACTCATAGCACAAATCGTAGGCGTACGCACAGACTTTGACGTTAGTTACCGTCCGTGAGACAACCAGAACGGTGATTCGTTTTTCACGGTGGAGCTTTATCGCGTCTCCAGATACCCTAGTGTCTTCATCCAACGAAGAAAATGAGGTCACCAAACTGGATTGGCCCCGCTAATTTTTCCTTCGATAAACCTTCTATGCGCCCCCGATCTTCGTCACTCCAAGTGGTCATTCGATCGATGTAGCGATTGAATTAGTGTAATGGTCACTGTTATCAGCTGATATCGAGCGCAGCTCCGGTGCACTCAAATTTTAGCAGGCGTTTTTTTTTTCGACTTATTCCTCCTTTCGATACCTCATTTTACTCTACTGCCTTGATTTTCCTTTTTGCCTTGTTTGTTTTTTTTTTTTTTTTTGTTTCTGCGGGCGTTGCCTTTTCTACCAGATCAACTTTGCGTCATTATTCGAAGCTGGTACTCCATTTGGGTCAGAAGATTTCACCTTGATTAAATAATGTTCATCTTACAAATTTTTAATGCTTATTGACACGACACGCTTTATGCCGGGGATCCCTAAACGTGGGAGAAGATGGGGTGTCGTAATTGGTTATTTCGATAGCTGGTTTTCTCGTCTCGGGCTGACTTCTGATACCCGCTCTTCTTCCGCGCGGCCGACAGATACGAGGTTCTGTTTACTTAGCTGCAGTGCCACAAGCAGAAATGGAGTGGGCGAGCCCGTGGCTGGGTATATTATATGAACATGCCTAGGATGCCGTCGTCTTACGTATTTTGAATTCGGGTCTGAATTTCCCACTTCGACTACAAAACTGCTGTTCTTACCTCTGTACTGCATACAGTCACTATTGTAACTGTTTCTGAAAACGTGTAAATTAATCCTTCAGTAGGGCCGTATACCGCCAGGTTGAATTGAATTACGCAGCACGGATCTCCCATTCTTCCGGCGAATATGGACTTTAATTGACGAAGGAAACAAGGCAAAGAGAGTCGATGCGCTGCCACTTGGGTCCTACCATTCATTCTGCACACATCAGCCCCTCTTGCAACGCCTCTTTCGCGGCGATTTGTAAGGGGAGTAATGCTCCTTCCTATTTGCACAGCTAAGGGCGCTCACATATTTGGGAGGCGGGGAAGAGGTGGATAACTCTGCCGTGCCTGTATCCCTTCCCTAAAGCGGCTTAGGCTCAGGAGGACGACCAGCTGATAGTATTGCTTATAAGAGATAGTGTCCTCTGAGTCTTGGCCTTGATTAGAGGGAGGTACAGTAGCACAGGCGATTGGTCCCCCAGTTACTGCGTTAGCGCCCAGCCAATGATCTTCTTTAAACAATAAGGAATGATCACGGGGCGTAGGACCTGGAACCGGTGCCAAGGGTGGCCTTTCCACGAATGATGCCTTCCTGAGATGGCTAAAATTGGCTGGAACGACTGTTCTGCTGCGCTCCAGTTCGCACCTCTTCACATGCTCTATCGCAGCAGGGATAACGGCCAAATTTAGTCCCATTTTTCTTCAGCATTTCTACGTAATAACTACACTTTTTTATCTACAGTACATTCTATTTACTATGGTAATATCCCATATTGTTAGTGCTCGCTAGCACATAGATTGCCTTCAGTCATCTGATTCTATCGAACTGAAAACGGTTGTTAGATGCGCGAAATACTGAATGTGCTGTACTGCCATGGACTTGGTTCGTCGATCAACAACAGAATAGGAACTGGCCTTGTGCAGTATTTTCGTAATACACCACATTATTTCGAAAGGTACCTTATAGCGTTCAAAGTATTCTATTGATTAATGAGAAAAAGTTAGGTTGCAGACTACTTTATCGTAATCCCGGATCTCCGACTGTCTTGTGGAATGTTTCCGAATGGCGTGAGGATATCGAAAGACGTGCGTTGGTCACCGGTTACCATAAGATGCGTTTAGGCCGTTTAAAACTGGTGCCAAATCGGCAGGGACCAGGTATGTGACAAGAGAATCGTAATTCATCGCGCCAGTGCTCGTCGCGTGCGAAGGCGCGCTCGCCAATAACGACATTCTAGGTCATTTTAGGCGAGAATGGGCAATGTTTGACCGAAAACATCTATAAATGTCTGCGATATCCTAGTCTACAAAAACTCCGCTGCTCCAGCCGGAAGTCTCTAGTGCAAATTAAGAAGACTCGCGCCTGTCGCGCAGTGCGACTGAGGAGCAGCAGATTACATTCTCTATCGTCGTCTCCGCAGGACCAGGGTCCACACAATATGCTCGTTTGCGACCTTTCAAAAGGATAGATGCCGCGTTTATTACTTCGCTATCTAATACGATTGGCTTTCGCGAAGTACGAACGCTCTCATGTTCACCATAAATTCATATTCTGTTGAATTAAGAGTTGGGTTTCACAACAAAGAAGCCACCCGGAAGAGATTTACCTGCTCTGATTCAGACGGCGGTGAGTGGGTGGTGATTGCAAGCAGTGCAGGTTGTCATGCAGCTCTCAATGCGGCCAAAAATCGTCCGCAAAACATCAGAGTGAGTTATGGTCAGAACCTTGGGCCAGTTATTAGCCTATGAGGAAATCAACTATCAAATTTGGTGTATGTTCCAGGGCCTGTTCCTCTTCTGTCCGGGTGTCTCATTATCGTTCAACTATGTGGACGCGTTTTTCCCGGGAGGTAGTGCAGCTCCTCTTCGAAGGAAAAAGTCTCATCCATCCGGCATCGCGTGGAGGACATGAGGCTTTGATTAATCGAGAAAATCTTCAACATTACTTAGATGTAAGTGAATTAATTCCATAACCACGTAGACATTGTTATACGCTCCGCATCCCGGCGATGGGCGGGGCGTGGCTGCGTGCGTCCTTTGGAATTGGTTTGGTGGCCGCGATTGCGCTTCTAGTACGACCTTTTCGTTCAGGGTCAATTGTAATTAGTAGTCTATCACGGGACAGCATGAATGTTGTATCGAAGCGACACAACCCGCAAAAAACGCATCGTACGCCATGTTCGAGTGAAACGCGCAGCCACGCCCTCTCCATGTATGAGATATGGAGTGTAGGGCTTGTACACGACAGAATTCAGACATGTGTTACCAAAACTGAAGGAGCGATTGATATACGGTGCCCAGTGAGCATTGTACATGGAACACGCGACGAGGTGAGACTTCTCCTTCCGAAATAGACTGTGTGCTGCAGTTCCGGACGCGTGCGGCCGCTTCGCAGAACCGAAGGGACCAATATTTGGATCAATTTCATATGAAAAATATTTTTAACGACGCTATTGAGATAAGGGTACGCGTCTTAGGCTACTTCTCTGTCCCCTCCTCCACCGTGGGTGAGTCCGCCGCTTGCCCCTCTTCCAGCTAGACCACGTCATACCTTGAGGAATCCCCAGCAGGGGGGTCGGGTCTGGTTGCTGTTGGAGAGGGGAGATTGTCGTATTTGTTGCCTTCGAGAGAAATTTGCGGCGTTGGGAAAAAATTCTTCAATCGTTGACTTTTCGTTGTTTTTCCCGTTTCACATTTGTTATGT